GGGTTCCCTAATGCGTTGGAGGGGCTAGTGGTGCGGGGATTCGGGTGTTGCGTCAATCATGACTTACGCATTTCTGTTCTTTGTTCGAACCTCTCTGTTTTTTTGAGCTACGGGTCTACCTGGTATTCTGTCGGAAACGTGAGGATTCCTGCTATGATTCTTAAGGCTTGGGTTTAGGGTTCGGGGCACGGAGATGTCAGTGTTTACCCTAAACGACTCAGGTTCCGATTTGTTTTATAAATTGTGCGTGCGAGCTCGAGGGCTTCATCTTCAGGAGAACTTACTGCGATGTTATTTGATGTTACTAGCCGGGGCTATAACAAAATACTCCAAAACCGTATTTTAATTGTTAAGCAGAATAAGGTTTAAGAGCATTTTGATTTGTATATTATATTTCTACTAGACGGACGATTTCGGGGTGAGTGGACAGTAGAAACTCGGGTTCAACAGCGCTTCTTGCACACACGCTCAGTGCAAGCCCACAGCGCGCTGAAACACCGAACCAGCGGCGCGAAGCCCTAAACTAGAGAGGGGCTCAGAATTGGGGGCGCAGGTTTAGAGTTTAGACCTATATCAACCCTAAACCCTAAACCCCTAAACCCCCTATGAAAACCCTAAGGCCCCCATAAACCTTCACTGAGCCCCATACCTACGCCCCCAGCAGCGCCCGAGGGCTCGTCAGCCAGGGGCTCTGCCGCAGCGCCCGAGCACTGGGACGAGCAGCGGGATCTTGACCTCAGGGTTTAGGGTTTAGGGTGTAGGGTTTAGGGTTTAGGGTGTAGGGTTTAGGGTTTAGGGTGTAGGGTTTAGGGTGTAGGGTTTAGGGTTTAGCGTGTAGGGCTTAGGGTTTAGGGTTTAGGGTTTAGGGTGTAGGGTTTAGGGTTTAGGGTTGCACTCCAGGACTGGGATTCTTGTTAGTTAAGGGGAATTAGTTTGAGCTATTATCAGAGGGATCCATAGTAAATAATGTGTAATGTGGGTTCTTGTTAAGGGATTTAGTTTAAGTTGCTATAATAAGGAAGCCATATTATCACTTGTTTACTGTAGATACCTCTTATGGTAACTTAAATTAAATCCTTTAACAAGAACCCAGTAAACCCTAAACCCGTGAACTTCATGTAAACCCTAAACCCTAGTGTTGTTGACAGCTCCTGTCTGCACCTGGTCAGTGGGCTTCAGGGTTGGAAGTATGGGGCATGGGGTTGGGCGTGCGCGATTTGTAAGGGCTGAAAACGAACTCGAAGGAGGCTGATCACGAAAGGCTTCTAGAGTCTAGAGCTTTTTCAGAAAGGGTCCTATGAAGGACATAAAGGGAGTTCGAAGGGATCTCTGCGGATGTTCATATGAGACTTCTTGAAGTCTTGAAGCCTTTCGAGGGGATTCTAAATCATTGGGGGCTTCTGGGACCTCAGGACTCCACAACACGTACACACGCGCAAGTGCACTATCTATGCATGAATATATACATGTGTATATATATATATATGTGTGTGTGTGAAGAGAGTATGTAGCAACTGCTGAGACTGGGGCACTCTTGCTGCGACCAAGCATTTCCTCCTTTCGCATCCCAGCAGCACTGCGCCAAAAGGCAAACAGCAAAGCCCAAACTCTGTAATTACGAGAGAATGTATGTTAACCCTGCACCCCGAAACAAACATACACACGTAGGTTACTTAGTACGTGCGCCTGCCTTATATGCCTGTATGGATGTTGTGACTAGCAGCAATCCCTGGCAGCCACTACACACTAAACTCACTAAACCCTTTTGCATCCAGGCCTATTGCGAAACAACAAACCGACTAAACCCCGAATCGGGGCTCCAGTTGGAGTTCAGGCTCCCACCGCCCCAGAGAAAGGCATCCAGGAAAACCGTTGAAGCACACCCATCCTCACCATGACCCGCTTCCCCTCTCCGAAGAGATATAGTCTGCTCAGGGCAGGGGTATGTTCGGCAAGACAGTCGTGGTTCCTCGCAGGGGTGCACTATCCCAGTCATCCACCGGAACACACCCCCACCTAGCAGACGGAATCACCCGACTCCTTAATGAGCCTTAATGCCATCCTTCACATTCACCCTCACATGGGTCAAAGCCACTGGCACTCAGAGTTGTGCTGGCCAACACCCGTAGTGACTGCATCCGGCCCGAGCAGGAAAACTTTCAAACCCTAAACCCCAAACCCTAAAACCCCAAACCCTAAAACCCCAAACCCTAAAACCGTAAAATCCTAAGACCCCTAAAACCCTAAAGCTCTAAAACCCCTAAAACCCCAAAACCCTAAACTCCTAAAACCCTAAAACCTCAAATGCTTTCAGCACCGGGGAGCTCAGGAGCCCGGCGACCAGCTGCCGAAACTCGTGGCTGCCCGGGCCGCCTTCCGGGAACGTGAGCCTCGGCTAGGTTTAGGGCTTTAGAGTTTTTGGGGCTTTAGGGCTTTAGGGTTTTAGGGTTTAGGGCTTTAGGGCTTTGGGGTTTTAGGGTTTTGGGGGTTTTGGGGCTGTAGGGTTCAGGGTTTTAGGGCTTTAGGGCTTTAGGGCTTTAGGCTTTAGGGCTTTAGGCCTTTAGGGTTTTGGGGTTTTGGTGTTTAGGGCTTTAAGGCTTTAGGGCTTTAGGGTTTAGGGTTTCTCTCGCAACTCGGACTCAGCCAAACAGGTCGGGTTTCTCGGTTCGAAGTCCCTACATCTCGACACTGCAGTGGGGTTCACTTCAACACCACTTGGCCAAAACAGGACAAAAAGGAAAGCAGCCTGAACCTTTAACTTGGTGTTACATAGGACGCGGCCTAGGTTACGCCATGCAACATCTACCCATGCCAACAAAAAGTCGGTTTAGGGTTTAGGCCTTAGTGTAGAACTTGGCTGTCCAGTACCGTGGAACAACTGAAGGTTTACCCTTGTGATTTTGTAGGTGTGACAATACCCCAGAAAGGTTATTGACCGGCTGCCTACTTTACTGCTAAGACCACGACCAACAAGGACTTCAGAACAGAGACCAAACGGCTAAGCGGCAAAACCCTAAAGCCGAAACCTTAGCCCCTAAACCCCAAACCCGAAACCTTAGACCCTAAACCCTAAACCCTAAAACCCCTAAACCCTAAAACCCCAAACCCTAAAACCCCAAACCCCAAAACCTGAACCCAAGAAGTTGACGGAGGCTCAGGTCCGATCCTTTGTAAACATGGCTTTCACTCACAGACCAGGACCAAGGTCAGCTCCAAAAAAAATCCCCACAACCAGGAAAGGCCGGGTTTAGGGTTTAGGGCCTAGGGTTTAAAGGGTTCCGACCGCGAGGCTGGCCAAGGCTTGCAGATGCTTTTTTGGCAGGCATGTCCTTCTTTCTATGCTAGAATGATCATGTATTTTCGGGCAGGCAAGCGAACTCTCCAGACCCTAATCCACCTAAAGATTCACGAAACCCTTATGTAACCAAACCCCTAAGCGCCTTACGCCCTAAACCCCTAAACCGGTACTGGTGGCAGGGGTAAAGCATGCAGTTTCAGGGCCCGACCTGGTGCTATAAATGTTTTTTTAGCCATCGGGACACCCGTCATTCAGACACCCCAAACTCTAAACCCAAGCTAAACCCGAAGATAAGACCCTAAACCCTCAGCCCCCGGTCACACCCTAAACCTAAAACTCTCAAACACCCTCTACCAAGACCTGAAACTCTCAACCGAAGAAACGAAATTCCCTAAAACCTGCATAGCAACGAAATTCCACAAAACCTATATCTAAATCCACAGACCTATAAAGACCACACCCCTAATCCTACACTCTAGACTTTAAACGTTAACCCGCAAGCCCTCTCCCACAACCTCAAAAGAGAGCCTCCACCCCAAACCGTAAGCCCTACCCACAACTTCAAATACCCCAAATCCTGCACCTGAACCCCTCAAAACCCCTAAACCCTTTTAGCCCCAACGCCCTAACCCCATGAAGACCCTGAACCCGAAACCCTAAAC